GAGAAGGGGACGACAGAGGATGAGATGGTTGGATGGCATCACCAACTCAATGGACATGAGTTTGGGTAAACTCTGGGAGTTGGTGAGGGACAGGGAGGCCTGGTGTGCTGCAGTCCATGGGATCGCAAAGAGTCAGACACAACTGAGCAACTGAACTGAACTGAACTGAGTGGCTCAGTCAGTAAGGAATCTGCCTGCAATGCTGGTGGACCAGGGTTCAATCACTAGTTTGGGACTGTCTCCTGGAGAAGGAAATGACAACCCACTCCAATATTCTTGCCTGGAGAATCCCATGGACAGAGGAGCCTGGTGGGCTATAGGCCACAGGGTCGGCTATAGTCCATGGAGTCTCAGGAGAGTCCAACACGCCTTGGCGACTAAATTATCACCAGAAACGTATGCGTAGAATTGTTAGCTTCTTCTCTTGATATCTGCTTTTAGCAGGTCATCGCATTGCAGATTAATGAATTCCAGTTGGAGATTAAGTGGAAAGTCATGAATAACAGAGTTAAATTGATTATGAAATAATGGAAATTTCCTCTGCATTTGCATCAAAGTCTGAAAAAGTATGCTGGAACTGCAGTTTGAGGTTGGAAATTTGCGTGGAAATGGAAATCTGGATTCTTACTTTAACCTTTGACAGCATGGAAAGCATATAAGCAATTTGGCTTTACTTGTGGCTCAGACGATGTTAATTGTTATGGAAATAATTTCGCTGTATTATAAATTTTGCTGTTTTGCTTTGTAATTTTAAGTTGAAATCATTAAGAAACATCATCGTTTATATTATTTCTGTAAAGTGGCAGAGGTCGTCCCGTATTGAGGACTGAGTTGGGTGAAGAAATAGCAAAGTGTAGACTCCCGAAAAGAGCCCGATCCACAACTAAGGCCTCACCTATCTCCCAGGTCCCTCAGGGCACTCGCAATGCACGCTGGGACTTGTAGTTCTGGCGTATGAGGCCTTGCGCGCGCAACCCCCACCTCCGGTGATCTCCTCTCTAGGCCTCGCGCCGCTGTTCCCGGAAGCTGTACAGGTTAAAGTTTCAACGCTTCCTCCCCCCTCCTCTTAGTCCCGCAGACTGCCAATCCACGTAGCCAATCGATGGCCTGACTGGTGCTCCCTTTTACTTGATTGGCTTAGAGTTTTGCAGCCGCCCAGACAAACTTGACGGGGATTGGTCGAGTCTTCAGTTTTGAAAATCGTAGGTTTGGCCCGCGCTGTACCGCCCCGTTGCTCCACTGCAGCCGCAAGCCTCGGAGGCCGGGAGCCGTGGGGCTTGGGCAGGCTGGGATTTGTGTTGGGAAGGTCGCCGGACTTGGATCAGAGCAGCACTTAAGGAGACGCGGTGCAGTCGAGTGAGTGTGCGCGGGCGGCCGGCTGGGGGGTCGTTAGCAATTTGTTATTCCTCCGCCAGCCCGAGACCCGGGAGCATGACCTCCCCTGTCTCCCGTTGCGGCCTGCAGGGGATGGGTCACCTCTTTCAAGTGACGAGGTGCCCTGCCTTGGTCCTGGGGCCCAAGATGACCCCACCCCGCCGCGTCCAAGAGAATAACCCCATCCCCTCCCGCTCCAGGTGCCTTTTGTTGACCTGGACGCGCAGGAAGCACCCACCGACCCGGTTGTGTGGAGGCATTATACCAGATGGCATTTCTGTACAGTTAACCCTCCCTCACCACATCCCTTATCGACTGAGAAACGTTTTAAATTGACCCATTTCCGGAGGCCACTGCTGCCTTGTCACTCCCCAGGCCCGTTTACTGACAGTGGCCTTCTCTGGGGCGCCCATTCAGAGCTTGGCGTCTACCTTTCCGAAGTTGAAATGGAGTAGGCGGCAAAGCTTGAGGTTAAGAGCACAGTTTAAATCCGGACCCCGCCCCTGATTTGCCCGAAGACCTGGACTTAACTTCAGTCTCCCTCAATTTGCTCATCTGCGCTAGGATCTCCTTGAGGTTGTGGCGAGAATGAAATGAGATGATGCTCCACCCGAGCATGGAGCAGGTCTCTTTAAAGAAAGCAGCTATTACGACCCTCCTTCACTGAGGTGTGGTCAGGGTTGGCTGGTGGACTTCCCGCACCCTCAAAAGAACAGGCATTGCAAGGAGGGCTGTGCCGCTCTAGTCTAATGTATGACGTGAGAAAAGTATTGGGAGAGGATGAGTCTCCTTCACCCTTGGTGGGAGGTAAGGTACTTTGGGTTTGTATCCAGGTTCTTATAGGGGGCTGAAGAGATTTTTGCTGCTTTTCCATGGGACCCTCATTCTTAACACTCTCCTTTCTGAGGGTCCTCTCTGATCTAATGACAGTGACCGTTTTAAAATAGGCTGAGGCTGCTGGAAAAAAAAATAAAATAAAATCAGCTGAGGCTGCTGAAAACAAACTTCTTATGGAAGAAGCTCAAACGCCTCTTTGCACTTTGTATAAGAAGCCCACACCTACTTTGCCATTTTGAACAAATACTTTTTTAAATAAAAGAGCAAGTTGTTGCTTTCCATAGCCCAAAGTGTTTTGTGTTCCTTAAACAGGTCTCTCTTTCCTAGCCTCAAACTGGATTCCTGTCATTAACCAGGGCTGAGCGCTGGGACAGAGGGACTCGGGGGAGTCAGAGGGCAGCCAGGAGGCTGTGCTGTGACTGGAATCTGCACACCTGTCTCTGCCCAAAGCTTCTGCGATCCTGCCCAGCTGGTCCTACCCTGATGGGTGCTGCTCTTGGCTCCTCGGAGTAGGGCTTTGGATGAGGAAGGTGTGCTCTAACCTGTATAGAATACCCTCATTTGGTGTCCGTGTGTGTGTGTGTGTCTTGGAGCAGGGAGTTAGAGTGGCTGTAGAATGTTTATTTCTAGGTGTACAGTTGGTAGATGGATCTATTCATTCAACAAGTATTCCTTTTGTGCCAGGCACTCTGCCAAGCTCTGGGCTTCAAAGCTACAAGCAAGACAGACCAGGGCTTGCCCTCAGGGAACAAATGCTTAGTGGGCAGAGACAGGCGGTCAGCAAGCAGATACATCGTCACCTGAGTGTTGTGCATAGTATTGAAATTGATGGATAGGATGGTGGCTGGTGGTCAGGTCCTCCCTGCGTTGCTGAGAGCCAAGTGCTGAAGAGTGAGCTGTACCAAATAGGAGACAGAAGGTTCCAGGCAGAGGGCAGAGCTTACTCGAGGAACAGAGGCTAGTGTGCCCTGGATATCAGGCCCCAGGAAGTCAGTCCTATGAGGCTGCAACAGCACCTGGCGTTAAGCCCTTTACAGGGGTCAGTGACTTAGCCCCTCCTTCCAGAACCTCCTGTCTTAGGTAGAGGCTGAGCTGTGTGTGGTTGTTGGTTTTGAAGGTGTCGATCAGGGTGGTGGGTCACTGCCATGGCATGAGGCAAGCAATCTGTTATTATGGTTTGTGACTGTCACCCGTTAATTCGTTCTTTCTTTGCCCCAGTCGGGATATTTATTGAGCCCCTGCTGTGAACCAGAATAGAACACTTCTTCCTTGCCTGGGGCTTTGGTGATAATTTTATAACTGAGTTTTGAGGAGAATATCTGAGTTTCTAGTTGTTTGGTTTTATTTGTTTGAGTTGCTAGTTTTTTAAGAAATTAAGACATAGAAAGCAAGCTTATGGTTACCAAAGGGGAAAGGGGGGAAGAGATAAGTTAGGAGCTTGGGATTAAAATATACACACTATGATATACAAAATAGATAATCAACAAGAACCTACTGTATAGCCCAGGGAACTCTTCTCAGTATCTTTTAATAACCTGTAATGAAAAAGAATAGATATATGTGTATCTGTAAACTGAATCACTTTGCCACGCATCTGAAACTAACACAACATTGCAAATCACCTATGCTTCAATAAAAATTATTTTTTAAAAATTAAGGGAAAACTAATTTTGTATTTTATACTGCCTGATATTTCTAGACTAAGTTTTCTAAAAAAATAAGACAGTGCTTATCTGCTCCTTCATCCATCCGAAGGCATTTCAGCTCAAGGGAGAGAGTTGTAGAGGCCCCTTAGAGAAGAGCCTGTCTCTGGACCACCACTTTCTTACCCACTCCTTTGGAATGCAGATATCCTGTCAGTTACTAGCATCCGTAAGAGGCAGTTGGATTCCGATGTTCTTTGGCCGGACACCTGGGGTTAGCTTGTGTGTACCTCAAGTGTTAGTCACTCAGTCGTGTCTGACTCTTTGCAATCCCATGGAACGTAGCCTGCCAGGCTCCTTTGTCCATGGGATTCTCCAAGCAAGAGAACTGGAGTGGGTTACCATTCGCTTCTCCAGGGCATCTTCCCTACGCAGGGATCGAATGCAGGTCTCCTGCATTGCAGGCAGATTCTTTACTGTCTGGACCACCAGGGAAGCCCCTAGGTATACCTTAAGGTGGTCCTCAATCACCTTCAGGCAGTAAGAGGAGTGGGTGAGAGCAGGCCTGTGTTTGGGCAGGTCAAAGAGGTCCTACCTGATTGGACCGCAGTTTCTCTTGAATCCAGGAAGCCCATTTACAAGGAGGTCCACTGATCCCAGAATTGGGCGGACAGTGTCGTATGGGGGTGGGGAGGGGGTGGTGTTTGAAGAGTGTGAAGATTCCAGCCTGAGCTCCCATGCCTCTTGTCTCTGCTTTCTCCAGGCAGAGCCGCCATGGGGACCACAGCCCAGGGGCCCATTCACTTGCTGGAGCTATGTGACCAGAAACTCCTGGAGTTTGTCTGCAACGTGGACAATAAGGACATGGTGTGGCTGGAGGAAATCGAGGAGGAGGCCCAGCGCATGTTCACCAGGTGTGGGGCTGGCGGGGTGGGGGCGGCGGCAGGAGCGGGGATGCTGCTGGCAGGATGCACCAGGGGCTGCCTGGCTGCTGCGGCCTTAGGGCACTTCCCCACCTGCCAGGCAAGACAGGCTGCCAGGGGTCCCTCCTGAGTGCCCCGGATGCTAGGGAGAGGGGCGGGTCTGCGCCTTGGAAGGTAGGGCTGCCTGGCAACCTTGCTCCCCTACTGTGTCTGCGCGAGGAAGCCCCAAGTGCCTGACCCCAGCTTGACCAGCCACTGCCAGGAATGGGGCAGTGGTCTGGCTGGGTGGGGGAGGGGCAGTGGTTTCCAGGCAGCCTCGACCATCACTGTCTTCGTACCAAACAGAGAATTCAGCAAAGAGCCTGAGCTGATGCCTAGAACGCCTTCACAGAAGAACCGACGGAAGAAGAGACGAATTTCTTCCATTCAGGACGAAAACAGAGACCCCATCCGGAAAAGGTAGGAGGGGCGGGAGGCTTGGTGCCCACGAGGAGAGTTTGATTCGAAGGTGTTAACTGAGATCAGGAGCAGTGGGCACCGTGTGCGCCATGCCGAGGGGAATGAAGCGGGTCTGGAGACCATGGAGTCCAGGGCTTATGTGCATTAGGGTAGGGGTGGTGTTTGATCTGGACCTCGGAGGATGGGAAGGGTTTCTGGAGGTGGGAGAAGCAAGAGAACTGACTTTCTGCTTGGGGGAGAGTGACCAGAGGTGTAGGCTGGGGGCTGGCTGTCTCCCAACCCCGTCGCTATGCTGGTTCTAACTGACTCAGTAATGACCGTGGGTTTCAGAGTACCAGGGGAAAGAGGCTGAGTCTTGAAGTCAGGCAATCCTGGGTGTACACACCAGCTCTGCTGCGTAGCAACTGTGTGTCCTTGGGTTAATGTTCCACCTCTCTGAGCCTCGAGTTTCTGAAATCTAAAGTGAGGATGAGGGTCCCTGCCTCTCGGGGACTATCTGGTGGATTAAGCAACAGAAGGTGCAATGCCTCTTGCAGGGTGCTTGGCCCAGTGTGACCCAGTCAGCGGGAGGTTTATGGGAATTTAATCTTCCCAGCAGTTTTGTGAAGACTGGGCATCACCCCAGTTCATAGATAGGGAGACTGAGGTTCAGAGAGGAGCATCTGGGGTCTCTTGGCTAAGGGTGGCAGAGCCTGAATTGGAACCCTAGTCTTCGGCCTCCAAGCTTCAGACCCCACTGGATCTAGCAGCTCCTCCAGCTGGAACTTCGGGCAACCTCCCCACCTCCCTGGGTGTCTCAGCTTCTGCTCCGCCCCCTCCACCAGGTTGTCCCGCAGAAAGACGCGGAGCAGCCAGCGGATCTCCCGGCACCTCCGCAGCAAGGACAAGGCGGAGAAGCTGGCCACAGTGGTGGGCGAGAACGGCTCCGTCCTGCGGCGAGTGACCCGGGCTGCCGCTGCAGCGGCAGCCACCTCTGCGGCAACCGCCCCTCCTTCACCCACCCCCGGATCTCCCACTGTCCTGACCAAGAAGCCCAAGGAGAGCCCAACCCAGTGCCTGCCAGTGCCTGCGGTAGAGATCGGTGCCAACGAGCGCCAGAGCGCCGAGAAGTACCTCAGTCAGCTCCAGTCTGCCCAGGCCTCCCAGATCCCCTCGAGCTCGGATGAGGATTCAACACCCCAGAAGGCAGAGGCTGGGAGGCTGGAGTCTGTCACCGTGAGCTCCCTGATGACTACACCCCGGGACCCCAAGGGCCGAGGGGCCGGGGCAGGAAGGTCTGCCTCCAAGCTCCGGATTGCAGCAGCTGCCCCGGGCCCGCAGGACTCACCCAGCTCTCCAGCCTCCCCGTGGCGGGAGCGGGTGCTGGCTCCCCTCCAGCCAGATAACTTCTCCACGGCCACGGGTGCCCGTGTCAACCGGCGGTCCGTGCGGCGAAGCCTGATCGCCCCATCCTCCCCGGGCCCCCAGGCCTCCCTGGCCCAGAATTGCTCCCCGGTTTCCAAAGAAGAGGACACTGTCCGACGATCAAGCAGAAGGATCGCCAAGAAGGCTACCAAAGAGCCAACTGCCTCCGCCCGCATCATCTGTGAGTTGGGGCTTGGCGTTGGGCAAGGCTCCAGAGGGTGGTCCTTTGTGCCTGGCTCAGCAGAGGGTGTCTGGGGACCCTCTAAGCAAGGAGCTGTCCACAGAACTTTCTGTGATGATGTGAACGTCCCAGATTTGTGCCGTCCCACACAGTAGCCACTAGCTAGGCACATGTGACTCTAGAGCCTTCAAAATGTGGCTCCTTTGATCCAGGAGCTGAATTTTTAGTTTTATTACATTTTATTTATTTCAGATTTAAGTTGCTATACAAAGCTTGTGGCTGCCATGTTGGACAGGGCAGATTCAATCCAATGCTCTTGTTTTCCAAATGAGAAAATTGAGGTCCAGTGCTGTTTTCCATGGTGTCCCTGTGGTTAAAGCCATGCTGAGCTCAAACCTGAGCCTATCCCCCAGGGCCGGCATGTTCCACTTCCTTCCTGCCCAGACTCTCTTAGATTCACCCTGCTTATGGGCCCTCTCCTGTTAGCATAACTGTAAGGCCTGGAGATACCGAGGTGAAGAGAGATGAATTCTGGGAGGGGCACATAGCTGGGTTTGAGTGCCAGCTCGACCCTTTACCCACCCCGTGACCTCAGGCAAGTTACAGGAAAACCTTCATGAGCTGTAACTTGCGTCAGCTGATAATAATAGCATCACCTCAAAGGGTCATTGGGAGGTTTTCTTGTTAATCCACATAGGGTGCTTAGAACAGTGCCTGCACAGAGAAAGGTCTGTGTAACATTAGCTGCTTTGTCATCATCTGATCCCAGCTCCAGGGATCCTTGTCCCAGGTGGTAGCAGGTGTCGTGAGCCACAGAGGACAGGCAGCTCTAAGAGTCAGGACTCTCTGCATGGAGGAGGTGGGGTCTGAGCTGGGAGAGTTGTGAAGGCTTCCTGGGCTTTTGCCTGGTGGAAAAATGCAGGAAAAGTTATTCCTGGCAGAGAGAACAACTTGTATGGAGACCCTGAGGCCTGAACTGGCCAGTGATGGGGTATCTGGGACTCGAGCTTGACCCCACGAAGGATGTGGCCCCTCGATGGTTGTTGGAAGGTTCCAGCACTGTGTGAAAAACAGCCAAGAAGAGAAGGAACAGGGCAGGGAAACCAGGGAGGAGGCTGCAGGGTCCAGCCAGAGGACGATAAGGTCCTCGGATTGGTGGAGAGGACAAGCCAGGTTTTTACATTAATGAAACGGAGGCTTAAGGAGGCCACTGAGCCTGTTAAGCTGGGAAGCTGGGGTTAAAGCCCAGTGTGTTTCGTCCTTTCTGGGATGGTGGGCGGCTCACCAAGGAAGCCAGGTGGAAAGACTCAGGGTAGGGCATCAGGCAGGTGAGGGCCTGGCCCAGTGTCTTCGCTGCCTGGGGAAGGGCTTGCTCCAGGGTCGGGGGCTCAGGGACACACAGCCGGCGGCCTGTGCAGACCTGCGTTCTGACGCACTGACCATATTTGGGTTTTCAGAAGGGCCCGGATGGTTCTGACCTGTCTTGGGGATTTTCGTAGGTGTGAATCTCATCCTGGGCAGGAGCTCAAGGCGGAGCGCAGACCTGGAACTCTAGAGGGAGGGTCAGGGAGAGACCCTCAAGGCCCTACCAACACTTCTGGTTCAGACATCTGGATACTCTTAAGCCAGTCTTTTCACTGGAGGAGGAAATGGCAAACCACTCCAATATTCTCACCTGGGGAATCCCATGGAGGGGAAGCCTGGTGGGCTGTAGTCCACGGGGTCGGGGTCGCAAAGGAGTTGGACTGAAAAACAACACTGCCCCGCCCTGCACAGAGGTGGGCTTCAGATTTGATCTGCCTTTGACCTGGTCCTCTGGAAGGAAGACAGTCAGACAAGGTGGTTAAGCCCTGGAGTCACCTAGAGCCTGGGGGACCTGGGGCACACCCTTCTCAGAACCTCAGTTTTCCCATCTGTTAAATGGTAAGAATGCCTGCCTTGAGTGTGGGTAGAAGACCCATCTTAGTGGTTGGGTATGGTACAGCTCTTTCATGTGAAACAAAACAAAACTAGATGATAAAACCGCAGTTAGCTTGTGTCCCTAAAGCTCAGCGGAGGTGTGGCCTGGCGCACCCTCCTAGGGTGTGGAGCAGGGCGGGGCAAGAGGGCTTCCTGGAGTCCTTCCTGACACCCGGGCCCTGGGGCTTAGCAGGGCGGGCAGCTTAGAGGTCTTAGTTTGGGTTCCCCGGAGGCAACTCTCAATGTCAGGATTTGAGAGAAGCTTATTACTGTGGGGAGGGGAGGAAGCACCTCCCCTCAGCAGGAGAGCAGGGAGGTGAGCCGGGGAGAAAAGACCGCCAGTAACGGCACTGGGGCCTCGGGGGACCTCTGGAGCCAGTGTGGAGCCCTTGGGAGGGGCTGCTGGGTGGAGGCATTAACTCCTGGCAGGGTGCACAGTTGGCCACACTTCACTGGGCAAAGAAGTGGTCTCTGAAGTGGTCAGGTGGGGCCAGGGCCGCTGCCCTGGGGTTTCTGCAGGGCCCAGCTTTACAGGCCAGGCTCCTCCTCGGGTGCCCCGCCCAGCTCTGCACTGGGAAACTACCCCTCAGCCCCTCTCCAGGCCTTCTCCCTGCCACCAGCCCTGTTCTAAAGCCCTAATGGCATGAGTCGGCACTTAACATTCCAGAGAAGTCTTTGCACACTTCTGTGTGGTCACATGCGTCTTCTCTGCTTTTGGCCCCCTCATCAGCCAGCCTTGAGCTGGGATGGGAGGCAGGGGGTGGGAGGAGTCTCCCGGCTGTGGACCCCGCAGATAGGAGCCTGCCCCTGTTCTCCACCCCACTCCCCAGGCCTGCCTGCCTCCCCCCAGTGAAAGTCGCTCAGTCTGTCCGACTTTGCAACCCCATGGACTATAGTCTGCCAGGCTCCTCTGTCCATGGAGTTCTTCAGGCTAGAATACTGGAGTGGGTTGCTGTTCCCTTCTCCAAGGGATCCTCCCAACCCAGGGATCAAACCCTGGTCTCCTGCATTGCAGGCAGATTCTTTGCCATCTGAGCCACCAGGGAAACCTCACTGCAGGAAGGTCCCTGCTTCCGGCCTCCCATCCACTGCCTTAACTTGTGGCCACGCCCCTGTGGCTTAGATGCTCCACAAAGCCTGCTCCTTCCTGCCTCATGGCCTTTGCAGATGCTTTTCCTTCTGCCTAGACTGGCACCTCTCCATTTGTGGCCTCAGGACCTCAAAGAGCTTTTGATTATGAGGACTCTTATCTATTGGCAGTTATTTAATACTTTAATATAAGAGTAACAAACAATTACCTATTAAGGTTAGTTTTTCCTTCTTTCTTTTTTTAAGAAAAAAATAACTTTTCCAAACAAATGTGATGAGGAGACTGGCATTATTCTCATATTGTAAATCCCATTCACGGGTGGCTTAAAAGAAGGCAGCTGGGTGCCGCATTCCATCTGTTGCATTGTGTTTGTTTGGGTTCAGGTCTGTGTAGAAAATCTGGCCTCACACGGAAACATAGTTGGAAAAGGGAAGAGGACTTAGAAAGTCTTTTGTTGTGTACTCTCTTTTCTTCTTCCAATTTGTGGGTACTCACAAGTGTGCGGAGTTATGCACATATTCCAGGTGTCAACACACTTTATTATTATATATTGTCTTAAAGGAGCACGTTTGTTTTCTGGTCTCATCAGAAAGGTTTTTAGGTATCAGGAAGCCATGAAGTTCATGGTGGTTTTGGCTTTTTGTGGGACTCAGTTTTTTATTCTTGGCAACAAATCCTATTCATTTGATTTGAAGGGACAGGCTCCCTTTGTTCATTTCTAAGAAAGTATCTGCCAGACACCCAAGCTTGTTGAGCCATTGTTTGTCAGTTGTTCTTTGACTTAAAAACAGCATTCTGTTTTAAAAAAAGGGAGGGGGTGGGACCAGTTCAGGTGAGACCTCAGACCCCTGTGCTTTTTAGAGATTTGACTATGCAACCCAAGGCATTTTGCATACTTTCTACTTTATGACATAGTGTATTAAAAAGATATGTACTTAAGTTTATTTATTTTAAAAATATTTTATTTATTTACTTATATATTTGGCTGCAAGCTTTTTTTTTTTTATGCTTACTTATTTGACTGTGCCATGTCTTACTTGGGGCACGCGGGATGTTCGATCTTTGTGGCAGCATGCGGGATCTTTAGTTGTGGTTTTGGTATTATGATGAAAATAGATAAGACCTTGTGACTCCCCTGAAAGAGTCCTCTTGGGCCCTCAGCTCTCAGGAGCCCCAGACTACACTCAGAACTACTGGCCCAGACATCCCCACCCTCTCCTTTGCTGCTTTCTTGCGCTTCACGTTCCAGCCTGCAGACCAGCTTGTCTCCCCATCATAGGGTTTTCAAGTCCTCTCCTCTTTGCTGTCATGACACATGTCACGTGTCAGCCACAGGATTAACTGGTGATTGTCTAGACCAACTTGTGGACTGTCTGGTTTGCTCTCTGTTGGGTCCCCAGGGCCTGGTGCATAGTAGGCCCTCAACATATGTTTGCTGAATGCATCTGCTGCTTTGTGTTCGGCCGGTGCAGGGAGGTGGAGGCTCCCTCTTTCCAGACACTCCCAGCCCAGTGAACTTTGTCCTCGGAGCGGCATGTTACCAGCTAGGGAGTAGCAGGGATAACTCAGGCAGCAGCTCCGTGGAGTGCTGACGGCAGGACTATGCACCCCGGAAACAGGGAGGGGTCTGTGGGGTGGAGGGGGTCTGGGTCTAGTGAAAGGAGGGGTCTCTGGGGTGAGAGGGTCTGTAACTAGTGAAGGAGGGGTCTGTGGGGTGAGGGGGTCTCTGACTAGTGATGGGAGGTGTCTGCAGGTGGAGGGGGTCTGTGACGAGTGAAGGGAGGGGTCTGTAGGTGGAGGGGGTCTGCTGCAGAGGGATGCAGCCGAGCCCCCAGCAGAGCCTGACTCCTGGGACCTCTTGGTCCAGGACCAGTTCTGAGGGCGTCTTTTTGTCCCTTTGTTTTCCCGTCAGGCCACAGTTACCTGGAGAGGCTCCTGAATGTTGAGGTGCCCCAGAAAGTCAGGTGAGTTGAGTTCCGGGGCTTGGGGACCTTCCCGGGGCTGGGCAGGGCACACGGGGGGCCTTTCCAGGTGAGCCCCCTGGGTGGAGGCACTTCCTATGCCCAAGCCTTCCCTTCCCTTGGGAACTGCTCCTGAGCGGCCCACCGCTGCCCCTGCCCCTGCCCCAGTCTTAACAGGAAGTGCCCCGCGGGTGCCAGGGCTTCCCACATTGCTCGTCAACATCCCTCATCAGCCCTGACCCCTCCGAGCCTTACCCTGGGGCCAGGGCTCCATAGGTTGTCAAATCCAAAGCCAGCGCAGTCATGAGGAGCCAGTTCCTCCTGGAGTAGGCGGCGTGGGGATCGGGGCTGCTCCATTTGTACCCCAGCACTGCTTGGGGCCAGCGCCCCTTTTCCGGGAGGCCACGTCCTGCCATCCCTGAAACTACTCCAGCCCCCGCGGCCCCTGCTCTGGAGCAGAGGGTCAGTGCTGGGGATGGGCAGACCCACTGGCTTTGCTGGCCCCACGGTGAATGGAGGAGAGGCCTCAATGAGACACGCCTCATTCCGGCCAACCGGGTTGACACAGAGCTGGGAAGGGGCTCCGGAACCCAGGCCCCGATGGGATCTGAGTGAAGCCAGACTCAGAAGCTGACACCCCTTGTCTGCCCGGGCCGCAGACTCAGAGCTCCAAGCACCTGGCTCTGGCTGCCCTGCCCACCTGGGGCTGGAGGGCTGTGGTCCAGTCTGGGGTGTCTGATGGACCCCTCCTGGCTTGCTCCCCCAGGGCATGGGAGAGGGGCTCCTGTGGGGAGGCTTGGGCTGGGTGGGTCCCACAGTGCCCCCTGCTCTGCTTCCAGCCCCAAGGAGGAGGAACCCAGCAAGGAAGCTGAGCCTAAGGAGGCAGCCGAGCCAGAGGTAAGCGGGCAGGCCAGGGAGGGGTGGGCTTGAGGCCTGCAAGTCCCAGGTGCAGACTCCTGAAGCCTTGGTTCTTCCCTTAGGTCCCCAAGAACAATGGCAAGGCCTTGCAGCTCCGCAGCACCACCAACATCACCCTTAGCCCACCCAGCTCACAGCCTGCAGCCAGTGGCCAGGGTGAGTATGAAGGGCAGCAGGGTGAGTCTCCTGACCTGCTGGTGAGGGACACTCAGGGCTGTGCAGGCCTTGGTAGCCTCTGCCTGACTTTCACTCGGAAGAGGGGCAAGCCCAGGTTCCTGGGCTGACAGGCCGAGGGTACATGAGACCCGGGGTGCAGAGATCTCCTTGAGTCTACGTGTTTCATCTCCCACCTTTTGGCTGAAGCTGCTGCTGGCTGCAATTGGGTGGCCATGGCCAGTCGGTCCAGGAAGCTGGGGTGGGGTGGGGGGACCTGCATTAGGGCGGTAACTGTGAACGTGCCAGGTCAAAGCCGCCAGCCTCCCTCCAGTGAGGAACAGGAGGGACTGGGTGCTGGGGTGTGAGCACCTGGCCTGTGTTTCGTCTGCCGCTGGCTCACTTCTCACCTCTGGGTGTCCCAGCTGAAAGGGTGGGAGCGCTGTGGGCTCTGGAGCCCTGCCCGCACCTTCCCTGGTTCAAAGTGCAGACACTGAGGGGGCTTGAATGTGGCTCCTTGGCTTCATGACTGGGTTAGGGACAACAGCCACGCCAGCCCCACAGTCCCCAGGGGTGGAGTAGAGAGTGTTGTGAGGGACTTCCCTGACGGTCCAGTGGCTAAGACACCACACTTCTACTGCAGGGGGCATGGGTTCAGTCCCTGGCTCGGGAACTAAGATCCTGCATGCCACATGGTGTGGCCCTCCAGAAAAATAGAAATGTAAAAATAAAAGTGTAATAGTGTTGAAGAACCAGGGGAGGGGAGATCGGCCCTTTCTCTTGCCAGGGAAACAAAACCTACTGACCCGCACACCACGTGTTAACCCTGCTTGGGAGCACCCCACCCCCACCCCTCTGCCACCCCCAGTGGAAAGAGCCAGGAGAGGTCAGGTTTTGAAGCCAGTCCAGGGACCTGATAGAGCTTGCAGCTTCCAATTCTTCCTCCCGTGAAAGGCACTTCTTGTTAGTGTTGGGCTGGGGAGAGGGTGCAGCTGGGCTCCCAGTGTTAAAGGCGAGAGGGACATGCTTGGGGTTACCTCGATGGGACTGTCTCACTGTTTTCACCCTGGAGGCCAGGCCTGGGGACGAGGGGGTCTGTGGACTGGGGGCAGCATGCTAGCTCTGCACGTCCTGAGATGTGTTAGGGCCAGACGGTGCTAAGGCGGATGCTCCTGCCCCTGGCCACCCCGAGATATGCTGGGAAGAGAACTTCACCCCTGCTGGGGCTGCTGCCCGTGGGCCCCTTCCCTGGACCCCTCCCCACCCTCCCTGCCACCCCCTGAACCTGCGATCTCCACAGAGGCCGAGACTGACCAGGAAGATGGCCCCAAGGAGCCACCCCAGAGTGTCAGGTTTGTATCCGGGAAAGGGCATGCAGGCCGCCATTCTGAGGGACCCAGAGGGGCGTGAACCCTGAGTCCTTGGTCAGGGAGGGTGGGCCCCTGTGTTCCCTCTCAGCAGAGCTGGGGCCTGGTGCTGTCACTTAATAAAGGAGACAGCTTCGTGCTGTGGGGCGGTGAGCCCGGCCTGGGGGTGGGCAACGGGATCCCAGACCCCATTCTCCTGGCGGCATGACCTTAGACTGGTCATTTCCCTTCCTCTGACCAGGCAGCAGAGGGTCAGTCAGGGAGACTCACCTCTGCAGTACCTTTCAGGCTGAAGTCTTAGGGACTGGGCCCAGTTCTGTTCACAGGGGGAGATCTTTCCTGGGGCATGATGGGGGCACTGGGGAGGATGCCAGGCCCGGCCCCCTCACACCACTGCCTCTACCTCTCGGCAGGAGGAAGCGCAGCTACAAGCAGGCGGTGAGTGAGCTGGACGAGGAGCAGCAGCTGGAGGATGAGGAGCTGCAGCCCCCCAGGAGCAAGACGCCCTCCCCACCCTGTCCTGCCAGCAAGGTGAGTGCGTTCTGCCTTCCCTCCGCGCCCCTGCCCCGCCTTCGGGGTCTGACCCTGGTCTCCTCTGTCCTGCCCCCCTGGACCTGACCCTGGCCTGTCTGTCCCGCCCCTGGGGTCTGGGTCTGGCCTGTCTGTCCTGCCTCCCGGGGCCTGACCCTGGTCTGTCTGTCCCGCCCCCCCGGGACCTGACCCTGGTCTTGTCCGCAGGTGGTGCGGCCCCTCCGGACCTTCCTGCACACCGTTCAGAGGAACCAGATGCTCATGACCCCGACCTCGACCCCCCACAACAGCATCATGAAATCCTTCATCAAGCGCAACACTCCCCTGCGCGTGGACCCCAAGGTGAGGAGCTGCAGGGGTCTGGGCCAAGGCAGGTTGTGGCCCGGCCCACCAGTCAGGGGTAGCTTGAGCCTCTGTGGCCCTGGGCTGCCTTGACCCTGGGGACTGTCCCATCCCCTTGGGCTCCACCCGGCAACCTCAAGGCTTGGCCCGCTCCGGGTGGCCTCCCAGATCCTGGGTCCTGGGCCGGGAAGTTACAGAACTGACCTGGCTGGCTGCCACCACAACCGTCCATCCCCCCACACACACACCATTCCCTCCCGGTGGCCTGAGTAGTTAAAGTGGAGGATACACGTGGACACTGATTTGCTGGGGATGAGGGCTGGGTGACGCCAGAGCAGGTGACAGAGATGTTGGCGAGAGGTGGGCAGGCCCCAAGCAGACTTGCTGGCATCACCAGGAGGGTGGTCTGCCTTCCAGGTCTCCCCCAACCTGGCATTAACTCTTGGCTTTTTCCCTGTCTCCTCTCCTCCACAGTGCAGCTTCGTTGTAAGTAAGGCCTTCCCCTGTCCTCATAACCTAGCTCCACGCAGCACTTACACGCTGTGGCCCTGTCTCTGCGAAACTGACAGCACCCGTAGAGGCACTAACATCATCGGTGGGAGCGTTAAGGGGGGGCTGGGGGAGGGAGGTGAAGCCGAGGTGCAGGCAGGCTGACCCAGCAGAGCCTGCTCTGGAGGAGGCGTCTCAGAGTCTCCTTGAGGCAGGAGGCAGCAGAGGGGGTGTGACCTGCGGCCTGTCACCAGGGCCACATCTTGCAGCATCCCCCCAGCCCCCAGCCACCTCCTTCCCACCTCCCTCCCTCCCTCCTCGCCAGTGCTGGGCTCACCCTCAGGGTCTGGGGCTGCGAAGAGAACAGACAAGGCTTCTCTGGTCCCAGGCCACTGAGATTTACTGGGTCGCAGACCTAAGCTGCTGCCTTGAGGGGCAGGGCAGTTCGGGGAAAGGAGGTCCGGGTCTGCGGGGTGACGCTTTCTGGGATGGTCAGTGCCATCCCTTCAGAAAGAAAGCCATAGGAGCTGTTCTCTTCTCAGATGTCCCAGAGCCAAGCTGGACCACCGGCCATGTGCAGGGAGCCATGGGGCACTGGGACCGGCTTGGACCACCATCCTGGCTCCCGGGGTCTCCTGAGCAGCTGCAGAGCTACATACAGCCCCCGCGGTCCTTTCGTGTCCACTGGCGCTTTAAAGGGTCTCCTACCAGGAGGGCTTCTGCCTCCAGTCGAGGGTCTTAGGGCCTCAGCTTGGCCGTCAAGGGGCTTCCCCACAGCTGGACATGCAGTCCCTGAACTTGCCTCTCCTGCATGAAGGCTGGTCCCATCTGGGTGGACAGGGCCGGGGTGTGCCATCCAGTATGCCAGGGAGCAGCTGTGTGGTCCTTATGCACCTGTTTTTGTGCCAGGGCCCTGTTGGGCATCTGTGCCCACAGCACTGAACCAGCCTTGGGCTTGTTCCTCCTACGAGGAACCACCCGTGCCCGACCCAGACTGCTTGGAGCCTCGCAGGGCCCCTGGGGATCCACAGGATCCAGGAAGCTGCCGTTCCCAGCTGTGGGGAGCCTAGGTCTCTGCACAGGCATCTGGTGGGTAGGACAGTCCTCAAGAAACCAAGGGACCTACTCAGGTCCCTGTGGCCCTGGACTGGTTTCCTAACCTTGGGGCCTACATTTCCTTGGCTGTGAAATGTGGAGACAGTGGTCCATTCGTGCAGACCGGAGGAACCAAAGAGTAATATGTGTCAAGCCCCCAGCACAGGGCTCGGCATGAAGTGGTGATTTGATGAATAGCAGTGACGCTGCTCAGTTGAGGCCCCTGGAGGCAGAAGGGGCTGTGCAAGCTTTTGATTCCTCCCACCCTCTGCCCTGGCCTTGATGGGGGCCTCTGGGGAGCAGCCCACCTCCCAGGGTTGGGGCAGAGAGGAAGCACGGGTTCTATGACATAAGTAACTCTTGTTTCCTTATGTGAAATTCACAATGCAACAGGATAAATTCTGTGACCTGGACTGGGAAATCCTAACACTCGAACTTCCGGACAAGAACCTGTTTTTCTGAGCCCTGCTGGGAGCAGGAGTCTGGGCATGGGGAGGAAGGGTGGGTAGGAAGAGAGGGTGGGTACACTCTGGGTGCCACATGGCCTTTGTTTCCCAGATGCTTTCTTCACAGGCCAGCAGGCGGGGTGGCCTCTTGCTGGGTTCCCCTGGGCCTGGGTGGTTGGAGAGCAAAAGGCCACCTGCTCCCCCCTCCCTTCAGGAGGGGGCCTCCCGAAGGCCAGCGTCCTCCTCCAGCCTGGCTCCTATGGTTCAGGATCATCTCTGTTTCCATTTCTCTCTCCATCTTAAAAAAAAAAAAAAAGAAAACTTTTATCTTAAAAAAATACTTTATAGTAAAGTTTATGTTAAAAATGATCATATGGTAAAATCTATACTTTGTGTAAGTATAGGTTTATGTAACCCCTGCCACAATTGGGGTGCAGAGCACTTCCATCACCACCCCCAAAACACTCTCCCCCCACCCATAACCTGTGTTCTCCATCACTATAGTTTTGGCTTTTTGAGAGTGTCATGGGTGGAATAATAACAACAGGTGACCTCTTGAGATTGGCATCTCAGCCATTACATTTGAAGTCAGTTTCTGGTAGACAGCATATAGTTGAGTCACGGTGGTTTGGTTTTGTTTTTTCTTTTTAAAATCTAACAGTGTCTTTGATTTATTTTGTTGTACATTTGGATTTAAGGATTTAAGCCTACTTTTTTTTTCTATTTATTTTTATTAGTTGGAGGCTAATTACTTTACAATATTGTAGTGGTTTTTGCCATACATTGACATGAATCAGCCATGGATTTACATGTGTTCCCCATCCCGATCCCCNACCCGATCCCTCTGGGTCTTCCCAGTGCAACAGCCCCAAGCACTTGTCTCATGCGTCCAACCTGGGCTGGTCATCTGTTTCACCCTTGATAATATACATGTTTCGATGCTGTTCTCTCTAAACATCCCACCCTGGTTTTTTTTTTTTTTTTTAAGCCTACTGTTTTATTGTTGTCGGCTGTTACCTTTGTTTTTTTCCTTCTGTTTCCCTTTCTTGCCTTTTTTTGGGGGTCCCTTGAACATTTTTTAGTATCCCATTTTAATTTGTCTTCCACGATTTGGACTGTATCATTTTGAGTGTTTTTTGGCGTTTGTTCTGAGGCATTACATACTTAACTTTCACAATCACTTTAGCATCTGTATCTTATCAATTACCTGTAGGCGCCTGACTCCCCGCTGTGTGTGATCCTTGTCTTACGTGTTTCATCTCCATACATTGACAGCCCTGGCAGAATAATTTTTGCTTTCAACTGTCAAACATTTTAAAGAATCTCGAGAGGAAAGGAAATCTGTTGATATTTACCCAGATATTTATCATTTCTGTTCTTCATTTTTGATGTTTTCTTCTACTATCATTTCTCTTCCGTCTGGAAAACACACTTTAGCAATTTTTTTAGAACAAGTCTGCTGGCAGCAAAAATTCTCTAGTTTTCCTTTGTCTGAGAAAGTTCATTTATGAAGGATATTTTCATTGAATAAGTGGAATTCTCGAGTAACATTTCTTTCCTTTTAGCAATCTTAAAATGTGCCATTTCTGTCTGGCTTCCATACTTTCTGATGTCAGTCAAATGATTGCTTCTTATTAGATAATATGTCTTTTTTTTCTAGTGCTTGCTTTTCAGATTTTCTTTTCAGACTTTTTCCCTTTGTGTTAAGTGGGGTTTGTTTGTTTGTTTTTTCAGGCTGTGCTGGGTCTTCGTTCCTGCAGGCTTTTCTCTTGTTGTGGCAAGTTGGGGGCTCTCTCTAGTTGTGGCGTGTGGGCTTCTCATTGCCGTGGCTTTTCTTCCTGTGGAGCATGGGCTGTAGGCATGTGGGCTCAGTAGTTACAGCTTCTGGGCTCTGGAGCACAGGCTCAGTAGTTGTGGCACATGGGCTTAGCTGATCCACGGCATTCGGTATCTTCCCAGCCCAGGGATCAAACCCATGTCTCCTATGTTGCCAGGCAGACTCTTTACCACTCAGTCATCAGGGAAGCCCTGTATTATTAAGTTATTATCAGTTTGATTCTTTTCTGACTGGGTATGGGTTTCCTTGGGTTTATCCTCTTTAAGTGTTGATGACCTCCTTTAATCTGTAGATTTATATCTTTCAGCAGCTCTGGACATTTTCAGCCATTATTTCTTCAAGGTTTTTTTTCTCCACAGCATTTCATAAACCTTATGTTGTCATCCCACAGTTCCTTTAGGCTCTGTTAATTTTTCTTCAGTATCTTTTCTCTCTGTGCTTAGAGTGAATACGTTTTATTGATTTATCTTTAAGTTTTCTCCATTCTCCATTGGGTCCATCCACTGAATTTTTTTTCCCCAGTTACTGTATTTTTAGTCCCAAAATTTCCATTTGATTCTTCTTTAGATCTTTTACTTGCTGAAAGTTTCTGTTTTTCCAGTTTCTTAAGAATCCTCTGATGACATATTAAATAAAGCATTTTTGTCACAGCTGCATTAAAGTCTTTGTCAGGTAATTCTAACATGTCGTCTTGGCATTGGTGTCTGTGATAGTCTTTTTTCATGGGAGTTAAGATTTCCCTGGTTCTTTTATGCTGAATAATTTGGGATTGCATCCTAGACATTTTGAATATGATGTTAGGAGTGAGTTAAAGTTGCTCAGCCATGTCCTACTCTTTGCTACCCCATGGACTGTAGCCTGCCAGGCTCCTCTGTCCATGGAATTCTCCAGGCAAGAATACTGGAGTGGGCTGCCATTCCCTTCTGCAGGAGATCTTCCCGACCCAGGGATCAAACCTGGGTCTCCCACATTGCAGGCAGATTCTTTACTGTCTGAGCCACCTTCGAAACCCTATGTAAGGAGACTGGGTCTTGTTTAAATCTTAAGAAGAATGTTCTTGTTTGCGTTAGTGGCAACCCACTGGTCCCGGTTGTGGTTCCAGCCTGCTTTCTGTGACCTGTGGTTCCAGCATCAGTTCAGATTTCAAAGCCTTCAGAGAGCTATTTGGACCTGTCCAGGGTGTACCAGTCAGTGGTCAGTCTGGAATCTGGCAGGTAGCCTGTGACTTTAGTTCTCAAAAGTTTCAGGTGTGATATTTCAGGGATTGAACCCATGTCTCCTGCATTGACAGACGGATTCTTTACTACTGAACCACCAGGGAAGCCCTGAAACAACTAGTACTTTTAAAAAGTTGTTTTTGAAGTTATTATGTAGCCATATCATAAGAAGTGTGAAAAGTTAAGGGAAAAAATGGCATCTCTGATCTACCTCCGCAGCCTATAGTAAACCTCTGTTAGCATTTTGCAGTATTATTTTTTCTTTTTTTTCGACTGTTAGAAAATAGTTGATACACACAAAAGTGTGTGTGTACAGTCATAAACTTATTACACATATAATAAAAAATTTACACGTGTTCCCACGCAGGGGCTTCCCTTGTGGCTCAGCTGGTAAAGTGTCCACCCGCAGTGTGGGAGACCTGGGTTTGATTCCTGGGTTGGGAAAATCCCCTGGAGAAGGGAACGGCTACCCACTCCAGTATTCTGGCTTGGAGAATTCCATGGACTGTATAGCCCATGGGGTCACAAACAGTTGGACAGGACTGAGCAACTTTGACTTTCACCCACCCACCCCCTTAAATAGAACACTAACAATAACTTTTAAAACTGCCTTTCTGTCCCTTCCCAATCTCATTCTTCATTCTATTTTCAAATACACTTTTTACATAGCTAGACTCAGAGCATACATCCAGTGTTGAGCCTGACTTTTGTGTTGCCCAGGACTTGCCCAGGCCCAGGTGAGGGCATGCGTGTCTCAGGCCCCTGGGAGGCCTTTGGATTCCCCCATTAGAGAGACTGAAACCCCAGGCCTCCATCTGGGTGGGAATGGAGGCCCATTTGGGGTGACCTTGCCTCTTGGAAGCAGTCTGGTGCTACTGCCTGTCTGGCGGGGTTTGGGGGGAGGTGCTGTGGGGGTCCCAGGGCCATCTCTGGGGGTCATCCTGGCCCAGCACCAGGCTCTGCTCGCTCACTCCCTACCCCCCACCCCAGGAGAAGGAGCGGCAGCGCCTGGAGAACCTGCGGCGGAAGGAGGAGGCTGAGCAGCTCCGCAGGCAGAAGGTGGAGGAGGACAAGCGGCGGCGGCTGGAGGAGGTGAAGCTGTAAGTGCCCCCGCGCCCTGCAGCCCACCTCAGCCTCGCTGGGCCCCCGTGACCTCCCTGTGTGCCCGCAGGAAGCGCGAGGAGCGCCTCCGCAAGGTGCTGCAGGCCCGGGAGCGGGTGGAGCAGATGAAGGAGGAGAAGAAAAAGCAGATAGAGCAGAAGTTTGCTCAGATCGACGAGAAGACAGAGAAGGTGCGGGCCTGGGCTGTGGGCGGCAGCTCAGTGGACTGGGCCCATGGGGACCTTACCAGTGTCCTGCCCCATATCCTCCTCCTGTCCGTCACTGGCCCTGGGGTCTGCTCTGAGCCACGTGGAGGGTGGAAGGTCTGCTCTGGAGCAAGCACAACCCTGCGCCCCTGGCAGGACTGCCTCCTGGCTGCCCCCTCCCTGGGGCTGCAGGAGCAAGCTGGGTCCACAGGGACTCGGAGTATCCGCCACGCAGAGTGCCAAGCCCCACTCCCTAGGGTTGAGTGAGGGGGCTGCTCCAATGGGCCTCTGGGCATGGTCTCCACAGGCCAAGGAGGAGCGGCTGGCAGAGGAGAAGGCCAGAAAGAAGGCAGCGGCCAAGAAGATGGAGGAGGTGGAGGCGCGCAGGAAGCAAGAGGAGGAGGCGCGGAGGCTCAAGTGGATGCAGCAGGTGCGAACGCCGGGCGCGGCCGCAGGGAAGAGGCGGGGGAGTCCGCGGGGCCCCAAGGACCGCTGGGCACGCACTGCTCCATCAGGTTGACCCTGGTAGATCTTGTCGCCTCGAGCTTGGAAGGAGGTTCAACAGAGGCCATGGAGATGGGGGTGGTGACGGTGACCTGCCTTGGGTTTTCTATAGAGGCAGCAGTTTGAGGGCCAAGTCCATGGACTCTGGAGCCAGACCTCCAGTTTCAGTTCAGCCCTCTATTAGCTGTGTGACCCTGGGTGGGTTCCTTGACTTCCCTGTGCTTCAGGTCCTTCAGGTAACAGTGGTATCTACTTGATAGGGTTGTGGTGAGGATTAAATGTGCTGCCTGTAAGATTACACGGCTTCCCTGGTGGCTCAGATGGTAAAGAATCCACCTGCAATGTGGGAGACCTGGGTTTGATCCCTGGGTCAGGAAGAGCCCCTGGAGAAGTGAATGGCTACCCCTCCAGTATTAGTGCCTGGAGAATCCCTATGGGCAGAAGAGCCTGGCGAACTACAGTCCATGGGGTCGCAAAGAGTCGGACATGACTGAGCGACTAAGCCCAGCACATAAGATTACAGGCCTGCCTCTTCCTGGGAACTGTCAGTCTTACGACTCTGGGGAACGCAAGTCTGTCATTAGGGGGTTACAAGACTAGTGACCGAAATGTATGAAGTATTTACATTGTGCCAGGCACTATTCTAAGTGTGTCTTGTATATAAACCCAGCAGGCTCATGAGGCATGGGCGTAACTGTTGTCCATGTTTTATCAATGAGGACAAACTAGGCCAGGGGGCTCTGTGACCCGCCCAGTGACCCCCAGCTCCAGGGTCTGGCTCCAGTCTGTACCCTTAACTACTAAATATGCAGCAGCAGCAAAAGTTGTCACGAGATGCCTCTCAGGCCGGTCTCGGCGCTCTTGGGGACGGGGCTTTGGTGGGGTGTGCCTGGGCTCACGCCCCGCCCCCGCTGCCCCGGGCGCTCTGTGGCCGCTCCAGGCCAGGCTGGCCTGCGGGCCCTGACCGTGCTCCCCGTTCACAGGAGGAGGAGGAGCGGCGGCACCAGGAGCTGCTGCAGAAGAGGAGGGAGGAGGAGCAGGAGCGGCTGCGGAAGGCGGCCGAGGCCAGGAGGCTGGCGGAGCAGCGTGAGCAGGAGCGGCAGCTGGCGGAGCAGCGTGAGCAGGAGCGGAAGAGGGAGCAGGAGCGGCTGCAGGCCGAGAGGTGAGGGGCCGGGCGGGTGGCCCGCCCCCCCCGGTGGCCATGCCGTCCTCCTGCGCGTGAGGTTGACAACGGCTGTCGCCATGACCAGGGGCAGTTCCCACCTCCACTCGGGGGTCTGGAAAAGAAGGCTTCCCTTCTTCCTATAGGCTTCCCTGGCTCAGATGGGAAAGAATCTGCCTGCAGTGCAGAAGACCCGGGTTCGATCCCTGGGTCAGAAGGATCCCCTGGAGAAGGGAATGGCTACCCACTCCAGCCAGTATTCTGGCCTGGAGAATCCCCATGGACAGAGGAGCCTGGTGGGCTGCAGTCCATGGGGTCAGAAAGAGTCGGACATGACTGAGCAACTGATGCTTTGGAAAACAAGGAGCCTTTTTTCCTCTTGGCTCCAAACCAGGCAGACCACCCAAACGTGGTGTGTCGGCTGCTGGAGACTCAGGGGTGCCGGGCAGAGTCATTCAAGGTTTTGTCTTCATTCTGCCGCCAGCCGGGTAAGCTGAGCCCGTTGGTGTGATTTTTTTCTCAGCTGACCTGAGGTAGGGAGGTCGCAGGACGAGCCAGCATTTCTCAGCAGTCGCTGAGGGTCTTTGGGTGGGAGCATCCCACCAAGAAGGATGCCCTCTGGCGTCCTTGGCTCCTGCCCACCGCTCTGCTCCTCTGTTCTGATGATGACTCAGGTTGCCCCCCATCAACATTTCCTGGCTGCCCTCTGCCCCCACTGGGGACCGTGCCAAATGAGCCCTTTCAGAGACAGGGGTCTCTGCAATAGACAGGATTTCCACTGGTGTTTATCCAAGGCCAATCCCTGTGCCTGGTGTGCTGGGTCCTGGGGGTGCCGGGGAGGATAAACCGCAATCACCATTGGCCCACAGCTCTATGGGGCCCTATGCCTGTGTGTAGACGTAGAGAACTCTGCCTGTGCATGTGTAGACACACGGGCAGACCTCGGCCCAGGCCCTGCCTCCACCTCCTAGGAAACACCGGGCGTCCGTCTGTGTGGGGGGTCCACCGCCGGGGGCTCACTGCATCGGAGCTGTCTCCTGTGCTTGATGGTTGGCACAAGGTGTCCTTTGACCTGTGGGCAGAGTCGGAGACAGGAGCCTGGGAAGGGAGCAGAGGGTGCAGCTGGTGTGGTTTTAGAATTGGACGTGTGCTGGGCAGCGCCGGGGGCTTCGAGGGGACAGACGATGGTTTGGTGGTCATAGTGGTTGGCAGCTACACGCCTTCCACCCGTTTCCTTGTTTAAACCTGTGGCAGGCACACCAGCAGCTCCACCTCCAGAGGGGCACACAAGTTCAGAGGTTCCGTGGCTTGCTCAGGGTCAACCGAGCAGGTACACGGAGGTGGCCCGTGAGCAGCCCCGCCCAGCTTCACGTCAGGCCTGGGCCCGGATGTGGGCCTGTGGTCAAGACAAGTGGCAGTGACTCAGAAGACCTCATTTCATTCTCCCGTCAACTCTGAAGAAAAGGGGTTAGGCTCACATCATAGGGCAGATAAGAGCGAGGTGCAGAGTTGTGTGGAGGAGGGGGCCCAGTTTGGTGGCCTCGAAGCCCAGCACCCCTACCCCTACCCCCACCCCATCGGGTGTGCACGCCAGCCCCCCAGCCCCCAGCGCAGCTGCTGGCCCTCAGCTGGCGTGCCCGCCCCGCCAGTGGGCCGGGGGGCCTGGCTTCCCTGGCAGGGACGGAACAGGGGCTTGGCTTCCTGCCCTGACCAGCTCTGGCTCGGTCCTCAGGGAGCTGCAGGAGAGAGAGAAGGCCTTGCGGTTACAGAAGGAGCGGCTGCAGCGGGAGCTGGAGGAGAAGAGGAAAAAGGTAACAGGGGGCCGGGCGTGTGGCTCCCACGGGCTCTGCACTGAGCTCTGGGCTGGGGTGGTCTGGCCCCGGTGCTCCGGGCAGGAGGTGCTATGCCCACCAGGCTGTGCTGGGGCTGGCGCGGAGGAGGGGCGCACACTCCCCTGGTCCGTGACAGCCTGCCCCCTGCGTCTCCGGGCCCCAGGAAGAGCAGCAGCGGCTGGCTGAGCAGCGGCTACAGGAGGAGCAGGAGAAGAAGGCCAGGGAGGCCGCGGCTGCCAGCAAAAGCCTGAACGTAACCGTGGATGTGCAGGTGAGGCCCGGGCATCAGGGTGGAGAGGGCCCCGGCTCTGATGAGTCTCTGCCCAGGAGCTGGAGGCACAGGCTGAATGTATTAGGACCATGAGAAAGAGGGGGGCTTCCCTCGTGGCTCAACTGGTAAAGAATCCTGCAATGCGAGAGACCTGGGTTCGATCCCTGGGTTGGGAAGATCCCCTGGAGAAGGGAAAGGGTACCCACTCCAGTATTCTGGCCTGGAGAATTCCGTGGACCATACAGTTCATGGGGTCGCAAAGAGTTGAACACAACTGAGTAACTTCACTTCACGAGAAAGAGAAAGGATACAGTCAGCCCAAGTGTTTCCCCCCCCCCTCTATTTTTGATATATGTTTTGTTCCTTATTCTGAAAGTAGAAGGTAGTTTTTTAAAAGAAAGAAACTGAACTTTATAAAAGAATACAAAGCAAAAGAAAGGTGCCCTGAAGGGATAATTCTAAGCTTGGTGTATTTCTTTCTATGTTTAAACATTCATAAATATTTTGTACACACTTTTTCTCACACGAACATACACATAGTTTTTTAAAGGGGCCCAGACTGGACATACCGGCTCAGTCTGTTCATGCCGCTATAATAAATGACCCTGGGCCGGGTGGCTTAAACAGCAGACGTGCTGGGAAGCCCAGGGTCAAGGCGCCGGCAGGTGAGGGCCTCCTCTGGTTCACAGATGGCCGTCTTCTCCCTGTGTCCTCACATGGCTGGAGGGGAGCGCGGGCTCTCTGGGGTCTTTTCTGAGGGAGCTCATCCCACTGAGGAGGATTGTGCCTCCCAAAGGCCCCACCCCCAGGCACCATCACAGTGGGGATCAGGATTTAACATAGGAATTTGGGGAGAATACAAATGTTCAGTCCAGAACACATACCATTTGGCAGCTTGATTTTCCCCCCTCCTTTTTTTTGCTTGTTTAATGTATTGCACACGCCTGTTTCACCGGTTATTAATTTCTTACTTCGGTGGCTGTGTTCCGCTTAGTTGGTACCAGAATTTCTTTAATCAGCCCCTTCCCGACAAGCATTGAGGCTACTAATGCTGTTACAGACGGATATAGTGTGAGGACGGGTTTTCATTGCAATATAACTTAGGATGTTGAAAACTTGGAAGGTAGCTGAACCAGGTGGTTAAATTACAAATTGTGGAGTTCCCAGTGCAGTACCCTGCAGCCATTCAGAGGATAGACACACACGCGCGCGCGCACACACACTGGATGAACGTTTGCAACATACTTTTACATGAAAAAGGAAGACACGGAGTCATGTATGTGGTCTGATTTTCTTTTCCCCCCAATCAAAAAGCGACCCCTGAACCTTTTTCTTGCTTTTCCCTGTGAAGTGAGGGGAGGTGGCCAGAGCCCAGCGCTTCTTAGCATCAGGAGTGTGCAGGGCGGGCAGCCAGTAGCCGTGTTCATCTTTTCCAGTCTCCAGTTTGTACCTCGTATCAGATGACCCCCCAGGGGCACAGGGCTCCCCCCAAGATCAATGCGGATGACTACGGGATGGATCTAAACAGTGATGACTCCACCGATGATGAGGCCCATCCCCGGAAGCCCATCCCCAACTGGGCCCGAGGTGAGCAGGGCCTAGACCCCCCCAGGAGGGCGGGTCCCCACTTGTGACTTTGAGGGCCTGGAGAGGGTGGCTCGGCGGCTCGGTGGGTGTCAGGAGCCCTTTGTGCCCATGGGCTAGCAGCTTGAGTCTTGAGCCAACTCTGCATCGGACCTCCGGATGCTCCTGGAAAGGGTGGGTGCCCCATGACCAGTGGGCTCACCTGCAAACCAGATCTACGGGGCTGGGTGCCTCCGTTCTCAGCAGATGGGTTAGATCCTGGCTGACTGCTGGCAGGCGTGGCGCGGGGTGTTCCGTCTCAGACTCTGGCCTCCCCCGGGAGCCTCAGCCAGCAGGCCAGATGGACCCAAATATATCGCCTGGGATGGCAATAGAGATCAGAGAGGTAGCGGGGCTTTGGCCGCGCATGAAGAGCTGGAGCGGGGGTTCTGGCCAGCTGGTGGCTGGAGTTGGGGGTGGAGATGGGGACCCTTGAGCAGGATTGGTCCCCGAGTTTACATGTCTCTAAACGGGAGTGCAGGTGAGTTTGAAGGTGCCTCAGGCCCGGGTCCAAAGCCTGCAGGAGTGAGTGAGGCCAGTGGGTGCCCATCTCACAGAGCTGGCTGAGCTGGGGGCAGGGTGGGCCTCACTGCCCCGAGGAGGGCTCAGAACCCCGGCTCAGCCCTCTACAGACCACGGGCCCTTGAGTCTCACTTCATCTCAACCCCACAGTCAGCGGGATCTGACTCCGTCTCCTTAATAGTGAGTCATTCTGGAGGTGGCAGCCGGCAGGAGTCAGCGGGGCTGGGATGCCAGGCTCATTGTGGTTGACCTCCACCAGCCCCCTTGAACTCTCGGTTTTCCCATCGGGAATGGGGGTGCTGAGAGCACCAAGCTAAGGGCTACTGATGACAAAGCACATTAGTGCAGGAAGGCCTGGTACCGGGCAAGCACTGGGCACGCATTCTGCCACCCTGACCCCCTGGGTTCCTCCTCAGCCTTGCTCTAGGCCCTGAGCCAGCAGCAGCCCCAGCCTGCTCCAGGCATGACGGGGGCTGCGCTGTTGATGGCGTGAGTAGCCGATCAAGGCCATCAAGCATGGTGTCAGACGTGTTGGTTCTGGAGCTGGGCTTGTCTTCAGACCTCAGCTCTGCCGGTCACCAGCTGTGTGCCTTTGGGCAGGTCTCACCGAGGTGGCCGTGGGAATGAGGCGGTCATGCAGTGACCTCAGCTGAGTACCTGGCTCACGTGAGCTGCCAGAGCAGGGCTGCAGGAGCGGGCAGTGGGAGGTTATTGCGATTTCATGGAGGAGGACCCTGAGGAGAGTTGATATGGCAGGAGGTGGGGGACTAATGAGGTGGAGAGGTTGACACGGGTTCTGTGGGAGGGCAGGGAGATGGGAGGAGGCTCAGGGGGAACCCAGGGCAGTGAGCCAGCCCTTCATGTGCCCCCTGCAGGCACCCAGCTCAGCCAGGCCGTCATCCGCCAGTATTACCAGCCCCCGGACCTTATGGATCTCTTCGGAAGCCTCCTCCAACTGGACTTGGAGGAAATCTTCCAGAAGAGCAAGCCCCGCTACCATAAGCGCACCAGCTCCGCCGTGTGGAACTCGCCGCCCCTGCAGGGCCCCAGGGTTCCTGGCAGCCTGGCCTGCAGCCTGAAGAAGCACTGAGCCGGGCCCATGGGCCCGCTTGGCCATCTCATCCTTTGTCTGTGTCTGTCTGTCCGTCTCTCTGTTGACCTGGTGCCCTCCTGCCTGGAATCCTGTCGCTGAGGGTTTGGTCAGGTGTATATAAACATCCTCTGTGCCACGGGTGAAGAGTGGCCCAGGCCTGCTGGGAGGCTGAGCCTGCTGGGTGTTCAGGGAAGACCCGGGCCCAGCCCCGGCTGGTCTGTTGACAGCACTCTGTAAATAGATTGTTAGAGTTGAGCTGAATTTTAGCCTCTAGTGTTTGAGAGCTAGGTTAATAAAGTCTATTCCTTTAAGCCTGCTGTGGGTATCATGGCACCAGGGCTTCGCTGCACAAAGCCCTGGACCCTGGCTCTGTCTTGGGCCGCCGGAGGTGCTGGAGGAGGAGGTAGGTGTCACGGTCAGCTGGGTCCCACCCCCAGAGGGGCCGATGGAGCAGGCGATTCCCATGGCAGCCCTGAACAACCCTGAGAAACACTTCAGTTACTTTCGTGTTGAGGCAGGTGACATTACAAGCCTGTTTTTCTGGGCAGTGCCCTGCCTTGGAAAGAGAGGCTTGTCCAGTGGGTCTGGAGTTGAGGTCAGAGTTGGGCTCTTGACACAGCTCTGCCACTTAACACAGGCCCTCGGCCCCTCCACGCCTCAGGTTCCATCCACCCTCACCGCACGGATGCTGAAAGGACTTTAGATCATGGACATGCCGCTGAAACAGATCTGGGTTAGGAAGCGGACATCTCTTGAAACTACCTTGGGACCAGTACATGCAAGCAGCTGGGATGTTTCTCCAGCAAAACCAGGCAGCCGCTCATTAAATGCTTCTTGTTCATGGAAGCTGTCCCTGCCCCACTGCCGCCAGCTGTGTGCTAAACCTGCCATAGCTTCATCTCCTGCTCCAGCTCCCGGGACGGGGGGTGGTGAACTTGGGCCTGTGGGCCAAATCAAGTCACAGTCCGTTTTTGTCAAGTTTTATTGGAACCTGCTCTTTAGACATAAATACTGTCTCCACCTGCCCTGCTGAGGGAAGGGTTAAGTAGTTACACCAGAGGCCTAATGGTTCGCAAAGGTGAGAGTATTTATTTTATACATTTACAGAAAATGTTCGCTGACCCTACTCAGGACAAAACCAAGGCTGAATATAAGAGAGGTTTTCTAAAATGAGGAAAGAGTGAATATACATAACAGGCTGAAATCTAGAAGATTCCACCCATGAAAAGAAAAACATTTTACTGTTCATTCAAATATGGTGCACAATTTAAATTTGTTTCATATGTTCTCTGGGCTTCCCAGGTAGCGCTAGTGGTAAAGAACCCACCTGTCAATGCAGGAGACCTAAGAGACATGGGTTCTATCCCTGGGTCGGAAAGATCCTGTGTTCTTGCACGGAGAATTCCATGGACAGAGGAGCCTGGCGGGCTACAGCCCATGGGGTCACAGTCAGAAATGACTGATGCAGTCTATGCACGCACGCACACACACACACAGATGTTCTTTGATGAGAAACTTGTGTTGAGTCTACTGTTGAGGGTGTCTTTGCATAAAGCCATAATGTCAAAATATTGCCTCTTGTAAGCTTATTTGTATGGTGGGTTTGAGAAGAAATTGTTAATCAGCAAAAGGGTTTAGTTACTCTGCATCTTCACCAGCACTTGATATTCTTGGTGCTTCTTATTTTCGCTGTTTTTATAGATGTGTAGTGAGTTCTTGTGGTTTGTTGTTGTTTTTTCACTTTGGCGGCACTGCGAGACTCGCACGATCTTGGTTCCCCAACCAGGTATCAAACCTGTGCCCCTGCAGTGGAAGCTTGGAATCGATAAGTCCTAACCACTGGACCACCAGGGAATTCCCGCTTCATGGTTTTCATTTGCATTTCCCTAATGGCTGCTTATGCTGAACATCATCTCCTGTGCTTACTTGCCATCTGCGTATTTTTGGCGAAGTGTCTGTTCAACTTATTTGTTCATTTTTAAATTGAGTTGTTAGTTTTCTTGCTGTTTAGAATCTATATATTCTAGACATAAATCTGTTGTCAGATATGTGCTTTGCGGTATTTGTCCTGGTCTGCAACTTGTCTTTTCATTCACTTACAGTATTTTTCATAGAGCACAAATTTTACTTTTGATAAAGTTCAGTGTATTAACTTTTTCCTTTTATGGATTATGCTTTTTTGGCTCATGTCTAAGAATTCTTTGTCTAGCTCCAGTTCTCAAAGACTTTCTCCTTTCTTCTAAATATTTTATATTTACATACATATTTTGTTTACATATTACGTTTAGGTTTATGATCTAGTTTGTGTTAATTTTTTTTAATGTGAACTTTATATTTTTGTTTTGGGAGCATATCTATATGTTCCCAGTTGTTTTAGGACCATTTGTTTAAACGACTGTTCTTTTTCACTAAATTTCTTTTGTGTCTTTATCGAGAGTCAGTCAGCCGTATTTGACTGTATCTGTTTCTGGACTTTGTATTCTTCTTTGGTCTGTGGGTCTCTCCTTTTACAGTAGTCGTGACCATATTACATGGTCACGATTACTGTAGCTTAAAGTCTTAAAATCTGATAGTGTGATTTCTCCATCTTTATTCTTCCCTTTCAAAATTATCTTGGCTTTTCTATTAGTGTTGCCTTTCTGTATAAAATTTAGAATCAATTTATCTATATAAAAATGCTGCTGCGATATTGATTGAAATTACATTAAACCTGTAGATAAACTTGGCGAGAGCTGACATGTTAGTGATGGTGAGTCACAGGACATAGCTCTCCATTTATTTGCATCTTTAGTCTCTTTTATCAGCATTTTGTGGTTTCAGCATGCAGATTCTGTATAAGTATTGTTAGATTTATAGCTGAGTATTTTCTTGGAGCTGTTATAAATGATATTGTCTTTCTAATTTTGGTTTCTACTTGTTCGTTGCTGGTATGTCGAAATCCATTTGACTTTTGTGTGTTGACCTTGTATCTTATAATGCAACTTAAGCAGCACTTAGAGGGAAATTTATAGCATTAAATGTTTGTATTAGAAAAAGTCTCAAATCTACGACCCTAGCTTCCACTTTAAGAAACTAGAAAAATAACAACCCAAAATATAGGCAGAAGGGAAATAACAAAGGTTGAGTGGAAGTCAGTGACATTGGAAAGAAAAAATAACAGAGAAGTTTAATTAAGCCAAAAGCTGATTCTTTAAGAAGCTCAAAAAAAAAAAAAAAAAAATTGTAAACCTCTTTCAAAACTGATAAAGAGAAAAAGAATAAACAAATGACCAATGTCAGGAATGAGGAAACACTACAGATTCTATAGATACTAGAAGAATATTATGTACAGTTTCTGATGTTTGACAATCTAGATGAACACAGATTTCTTGGAAAATACAAATTATCTCAGTCACTCAAAAAGAAATGTAAAACCTAAGTAGCCCTATCTATGAGAGAAATTTAATTTGTTTAAAATACATATGTATGGTCACATGGTTTTGGACAAAGGTGGAAAGGCAATTTAGTGCAAGAAGAATAATTTTTTTTGCCACAAATTGTCTTGAAACCATTGGATATATTTAAAAATCTCCAACCCTACTCACACCATCTACCAGGTTAATTCATGGTGGATTGTTGGCCTAAATGTGAAAACTGAAAATATGAAACTAGAAAAAAAAATGGGACAAAATCTTAGCATCTGTGTTTAGCACAGATTTCTCTTACACATGACAACAGTAGTATTCTCTGGTGGCTCAGAGGGTAACGAATCCACCTGAAATGCAGGAGACCCAGGTTCTACCCACGGGTCGGGAAGATCCCCTGGAGACAGAAATGGCAACTCACTCCAGTGTTCTTGCCTGGAGAATCCCATGTACAGAGGAGCTACCATCCATGGGGCTGCAAAGGGTCAGACACTGACTTTCATAAAGGAAAAAAGGAAACGTTTAAAACTCTTGGCCCTTTAAAAGTCACTGCTGGGCCTTCCCTGGTGGTCCAGTGATTAAAAATCTGGCTACCAATGCAGAGAACGCAGGTTGGATCCCTGGTCCAGGAGGATCCCACATGCCGTGGGGCAGCTAAGCCTGAGCAGTGCAACTACAAGCCCATGTTCTAGAGCTGGCGCTCTGCAACAAGAGAAGCCTGTGCACCACAACAGAGAGCAGTCCCCGCCCGCCACGGCTAGAGAAAGCCCACGCGGAGCAGTGAGGGACCCAGCACAGCCAAATAAAGTACCAGAGAGTCACTGTTGCTAACCATTCCCCCACCCCTATGACTGGGGTGATGCAAATAGCCTGTAACCATATTCCTGGGGCTTCCCAGGTGGCGCCAGTGGTAAAGAATCCACCTGCCAATGCAGTACCACAGGAGACTCGGGTTTGATCCCTGGATCGGGAAGATCCCCCTGGAGTAGGAAATGGCAACCCGCTCCAGAATTCTTGCCTGGAAAGTCCCAGGGACAGAGGAGCCTGGCGGGCTACAGTCCGTGAGGCCAAAAAGTGGGACACTACTGAGCAATTGAGCTCACCGTTATTTCCAGGGATTAAGCTGGGAATGGCTTCAACGAGGCTCTCTCTTGCTTCGGTAGGACCCATTCATGAGTGCCCATCCTGCCCCTCATCATACCCTTCTTTTACCTATCTGACACTCTTCCCCTGGTCACGCCCCAGCTGGCTACCTGCTCTGTGAAGCTTCCCCTGTCTGCCTCAGGTGGACTAAGGCACAACTGCTTTCTGGCTCCCTCTGGGTGGTGATGCTCCGGGTGGTCAGCTCTGAAGTCAGCTGAGCAGCAGGAATGCTAGCCCCAGCTGGCTACCTGCTCTGTGAAGCTTCCCCTGTCTGCCTCAGGTGGACTAAGGCACAACTGCTTTCTGGCTCCCTCTGGGTGGTGATGCTCTGGGTGGTCAGCTCTGAAGTCAGCTGAGCAGCAGGAATGCTGGGTAATCTCTGCTTGGGCAAGAGCCGTAGAAGCCTCTGCTTCTCTGGGCTTCCATGATGCAAACTCTTCCAGAAGCTTTAGGAAAGAAGGAAGCACAGGCACGAGAAGGGAAACTGACCATAGCCTGTATTCCAAAGGCTTCCAAACTTGACCCAGACCTAAGGTTACAGTCCTGTCTGACCTTGGAGCTCAGCTCTGAGGTTCCCTTGGACATCTAGAGAGCAGTCAGCAGCACCTAGCACTAGAGAACCTGAGTCACTAGAGCCCCGAGGTGCCAGCTTTGTATCCTTCCTGATGGGAGAACAAGCTTAGTTGTCCCTAACCAGCAAAACAGAAAATAAATTCCACAACCCACCCCAACCAAAGCTCCACTCAATGCAGGGGTCTTTGCTG